TTTTTTTTTTTTTTTGGCCGGGGCTGGGTTTGAACCAGCCACCTCCCATATGGGCCCAGTGCCCTCACTTTTGAGCCACACACGCTGCCCCCCATGCAAAGCATTTAACACCTGTTTGGCATTTAGTAAGAATACTAAATTTTAGACAGGCACAGCTTATTTAAATCTAAGAAAAAAACCACTTCGTCTCATTTTATCTCTTCTAATAATATTCACAGTGATAAGCTCTGATGGGAAAAAAGTGTTTCCCGGTAAAGTAGAGCGTCAGTCATTACTGGCGTGTGTGTAGTTTATTTTGTAAAGTGGTCCTAGAGAGTCAGATTTGGGGATTGAAAAGAGAGAAAAGGGGGAAAGAGAAATACACAGACATGCAGCTGTAGGAGTCTGGGGCCCCCAAAGCCTTCCAAGAATCGTGTACAAATGTCTGAGGGAGGGACACAGTCGCCTGGAACCATGTTGCATTATTTGGGTTTCAATGGGGTATTAAGACCTTCAACATTGATTTGTCGTGTGTAAGTGATTGGACTGTTGGTTCCAGCAGGTGGCGCAGAGAAGTGCCATGGCCACTATGCTAATTGCTGCGGGAGGCTAGCGAGCGTGCTCAGAGAACAGGAAAGGCTTATTCCCCACATGATTCTTTGGAGAAGTCCTGCGCTCTCAATGATCCTAGAGACCTGAAAGCAAATCAGTACCAGGATTTCTGCTACAAAGACCACCATTTGAAGGACAACACCCTGAATGATTGTCTATACAGTAAAGCCCAGTGTTTAAGTCCTTGTAGTATTTCTATAACTGCCACCTGTGAGATCCCCTGCTGGTGATTTCTCTGTTAAAAACAAGTTTTTTAAAAGCATATTTTCAGGGTGAGCTGAGATTCATGTTGGAAGTGCTTCATTTTTTCAATTCTGCCAGGAAACTCAAACACAGTAGAACCTCTGTAAGTTGACCACCCAAGGGACTATAACAAACTGGTTAACACACAGAGGTGATTAACTTAACGAGCTGCTGTACTGATATGCACATGTGCTCCCTGTCTAGTCTTTGAAAAGGAGGTTAACTTAAGGAGGTGATTAGCTACGGAGATTCTACTGTAGATCCATGGAGTCTTCTTACCTCTAACTGAGGAGTTTGAGACCTTCTGAATAGAGGCAAGGGGAATGAAAAAAAAACAAAACTCTTCTCTTTCAAAATAGGTTCAAAAAATTATGTGTTAATTTCTGTGGATGGGTTAATATTGCTTACCTGTTTTATTATAGATTTTTGATGTAATCTTTATTTTTAACCTTAAGGGAAAAATTACACTTGGAAAGTTTGCTGTTGAAGTCTTACGCAACTGCAGAAATTGCCTAAATGCGTGAAATGGTGGGATTATGACCAAGGGTAAATGGGTAAAAGGAAAAATCTAGTTACATAATTCCTTTAATAACTGGTGATTATGTGTTGGTCAGCACTTCCTTAATCAAAAAATGGCCCATAGAGATGAAAATTACCCACCTTCCTACTAAAGAACACGCTTTCGTTAGAGGTCTATTTAGCCTTTACGGTGAAAGTGGGTTCCAGGCAAAAGTCTTTCACATTAGAAATTGTATTAAATTAATTGAAAAATAGAAAAACATTGATAATAATAATAATAAAACAGGAGAAAGGAAGAACAGTAAAAGGTAAATACTTTTTAAATGTTACTCAAATAGACATTCAATAAAACCACATCTTTCAGACAACATAATCATTTGCATCATAAAAAACTCTAGTGGTTCAAATTCAAAATATTGATTAAAAAGCTTCAGTTGGACTTCAAATCAGCCTAAAAAGAAAATTTCCATCTTAATAAAATAGGCAAAACTTTCCTTTTAAAGTTACAACTTATTTTGTTAAAAAATGTGTTTACTAGTCTTGAAAAAGACCTCAGATGGGTCCTTCAGAAGAGAAAACCTTTCTCATTTAAATTTGAATCCAATGAAGCAATGAAGACACAATCCCAAAGTATCCAGAAGAAAACTGGGATCACAATCAATAATTCACAAGTTTCCAAATACCCACAATTCTGGGCTGATCCTTCAACAAAACAGAAGAGTGACTGGCGATTCCTTGATATCTGTAAATTTCCTCCCTTTATCCTGATGCTATGGTAATCCAGTTTGTCCTATGGACTTCTTTAAAGCCATGAAAGCACAGTAAGTATACTGCCTACACACAGACTTTTAAATATCTTCTGGAACATTCCTCAAAGTGAGAAGCTCCTCTTTGCCTTTCGTCAGCAATGTCACTATTCTCGTGACTGACGCTAACTTCACATGGCCACATCTATTTTGTCCTCTCAGTCTCTTACTTACTTACTGCCAGTCAGCACAGCATAGGGATTGATGCATTTTGTGCCTTCAATTCAAATTAAATAGCAAACACTGCTGTTTGTGAACTTTTTGGCCAATGAGTAAAAAATGTTTCATTTCTAATTCTTACCAGAAGGATTTAAATTAAACAGTAACAGATGCATTGGGCAGGCATGGAATACTAAGTAGAAAGTGGCAAATGGAATAATCCAGCTCTTAGCTTTTACAATGAAAACGTGAATTGATTCTGTCCTAAGAGATAGAAGTAAAAGGACCAAGTGTTTTTAAAAAAGCCTTCTCCACCAAAAGAGCAAAATAGCACTCAGTGGCATTGCGTTGTTAACAAAATTTCTTTATCAGAAACTATAATTTAATATTTAAGTATCTAATTTACATGTGACAAGGTATCATATTCAAAAAAGTAAATTGCAACTAGAAAACTATTAACCACTAAAAACAATACCAAACACAACCCAAACATTTATAGGAAAGCAATAGCTAGAATTCAAATTGGAAAAAATGTTTCATCATATTTGGCTCATTAAACAAAGCATCCATTATAGTCTGGAAAAGAGCATCTCTTCTAATTCATCAAAAGTTTACCCTTTGTAGCATGAATAACATGTAAAGATAGTTTCATTGACTGTAGATGCACACGTGTGTTTGTGTGTATATATATAGTGAGACATACACTCGTGTGTTCATTTAAAGATATTGTATCTACTGATAACTGGCTGAACTTTGGAAGGTGCTGAAATCCATATTTCTATATGTCCTTTGACCCACTTAATAATGCCTTTTTAAAAACAGAAGTTACATAAAATACTCTGCTTTTTATTAACTGAATATTTTCTTAAGCATAATAATAGACAATGAAAGAATTGCACTTATTGTAAAGGTACAGTAAAGTGTTAGATTGCAGTTCAGCCATAAAAGATCAGGGACTGTGGGACGGATGATCAGTTGTGCATTATATGCAAAGGGGGTGGTGACCAGTGAAACTAAAATGAGAGCAACTAGTTACATAACAAACAGGGAGAGAACAGAAGAAAACATGCACTACTACTTTAATGCAAAACTAATTTCTCCCAGGAAACCAATCCTATAACCTTCCTTATACAAAGAAACAGGTTCTGCACCCTTGGCAACACAGTAGCCTTGGACTTGTGTCATCAAATGCCAGTTCGGTGTCTCTCTGAGTGTGCTGTTCCAATGTCATCTCCATAAGCTGCCTTTGAAATTCTGGAGCATCTACAATATTACAGTCTCTTGGGTAGGTTCCATTCAGCCTCAATATTTCCATCTGTTCTGTATAAATAGGGTTCATTATTCATCTTCCTCGGGTTCCTGTGGTAAGACGTATATTTCTTCCTTTAAACAATCACTGAAGAATCTAAGGATTGTGCTGTAAAGATGATACTTGCTCTTCTCAGAGACATTATGACCTTCATCTGGGTAGACCTAAGAGAGTGAGGAGAAAGAAGGCAGCACGTTACCAGCACAGCTGTTGTCCTTCAGCTTTAGTTAAGTTAGCCCAAATGGCAGGAGAACTTTGACAAATAGTATCTAATCACAATCTCATCTAATTCAACTGAGTTCTTCATGCTACACTTTTAACAAATTATAATTGTGTCAATCGATATTTGAGGAAAATATGTATTTTGTGTTCAAAGTTATTTGGCTAAATATAGTGGATGTTCCCACATTCAAGTTCAGTATGATGGCCTTAACATTGCCCTCAGATCGGCCTGACTGTGTAAGTCCCTCATCTCCATTTCCTTAGAGCATTTACTTAAGAAACTCGTAACTGGGTATCAACTTTCTGTCCCTTTGAAATGTGTGTAAATCTTCAAGCCTCCTGCCAGTTTTACAAACCAGAATATGTATTTCTCAAAGAGATGGAAACTTTGGAAGTGCAAACACTGAGAGAGGAAGCTCCTCCATCTTTCACTCTGGGAGAGTGACAGCAGTGGTCCGAGTTCTAAAATCACCTGCTGTCTTGGAAAGACAATTTTAAAGATCTTTGAGCCCTTTGTTTCGACAGAGTTGAGTTCAGTCTCTCTCTCTCTTATTGCAACAGCCTGGACTAAACGCTTCCTTGCCTGATGACATTGGTGAAATTTTTATTTTTATGATGTCCTTTCTGATATAAATGACATTATTGATTTTTCTAAAATACAAATACTATGTTATCAGTTTCTGGGTGAGAAGTTTGCAAATGATGCCTCATTGTCCCCGTGCTCCTCGACATTCCTTATGGCATAAACATACCTCTATCATCTTTCAGCATCCTTACCCTGGCACTTTATGTTTTATATAGGTTGAAAAACTTTCAGTTATTCTGAATGCTAAGATGCTGAGAGATCAAAATTACTGATTGTTTGTTCTTGCTGTTGTTGTTGTTGTTGAGACAGAGTCTTGCTATTCTGTCACCCTAGGTAGATACCAACTTTAATTTCTTGGGCTTTTACCTCAGTTTCCTGAGTAAACAGGAAACACCCACTTGTTTTTCTATTTTTAGTAGAGACAGGGTTCTCACTTTTGCTCAGGCTGGTCTCAGCTCCTGAGCTCAAGCAACCTCCCTGCCTTGGCCTCTTAGACTGCTAGGATCAAAGGGGTGAGCCACTGAGCCTGGCCTATTACTTTCTTTTTCATTCTACGATTCCTCCACCAGCCTGAAAGTTACCTGATAGTCCAAAGTCCATCATGCTACCCATTTAGTGTCGTGGCCACTATAAGTCCTTGGTCAATGTTTATAAAGTGTGTGTAAGCGCAGACAGAGATGGTAATGTAAATGGTATTTTATCCTCTCCTTTATTCTTGTAATATTTCCCCAAACACTTTTTTCCTCTCACTATGTATAATAACAGTAACAGAAAGTGAAGAAAAGGCAAAAGGGGCAAGAAGGGAAATAGAGAATTCTTTTTTTAAAAGAATTCAATATGAGCGATATGAATAAAAGTCTGAAGCAAACAGAACATTTTGAAAGGGTTGATGTAATTCCCTTGTAAAGCTTGAGCTAATCCACATTCTCATTGTAATTAAGAACAAAGAATATAATCTTTAGTTCCTAAAAACTAATACCCTAAGGGATGGAGAAATATGGAAGCTATGTTCTGTAGCCAAAGCCATGGAAGGAAAAGACATTCTTCTGAGAAAGTAGCTTACCTGCATAGTATAATTCACTCCAGCTTTTATTAGGTGCTTGATTAATTCTGCTGAATGCTGGAAATGAACTTTCGCTGCAAGAAATTAAATTATAATATTTAAAGGAAATAGATTTTTAGTAGCATATTATTTTTTCGAAGAGATTTAGGATTTACTTAACATACATTGCCCATTTAAAAGACTGATATCTGGCATTAACTAGAAAGCCTGTAAATATAATGATAAAATTTCGAGCTTCACTCTGTTAAAAAATAAACAAAAATAGGATCTATTACTAACGTTCCTTACTTACTGCATAGGATGGCATTTAGATTGACTTTACTGAAGATCATTTATTAGTCCTAATTTTTTATATATTTTACACCTTATAAAATTTTAACATGGTAAATGTCCTAGCTAGATAGTAATACGCAAGCTAGCTTTCTATTACTTCTGGGGGACTGCAAAGACCCAGCACCAGTTAGATTCTGGCATTCTGCTTTATTGTTTTAAATTAGAAAAGAATATCCCATGCAGAGAGAATATTATAGGCTGCAAATTTCATTTTACGTGGGCTACTTCATGTAGATCATGCCAGTTATTTCTGTTGTCTTTTTATCTTCTTTCTACCCGAACCTAAAGTCCAAAAGTCTGAAATAGGCAGCACAGGAGACCTGGATGTGGTCACTGCAAAGACCTGGACCCTCCATTCAATCTCTCTGTGCAGCAGCTCGCTTACACGCTGCCTGCGCTATTCACGTCTGCACGCTGTGTATCTTCAAATTTCACTACATAATTTTTAATCTAATAGTTTGTAACTGTCTTTGCAAAACTCAGGCAGCTTTGTCAACAGAGTAAGCGTCTCTCATGCTCTAACACTATGGTGGTGAATAATCACACTACACAACAGAGGAAAAAAATCCAAACAATCATTTAAATCTTTAAAAAAGGTACTCAAGATTTTATTCAACATTTTTCTATGATACTTAACAGAAAAATTACCATGTCATCTCTCAGTACATACAAATTGCTCTATTAATGTCAGCTACTAGAAATGGCAATTAATAAGCCCGGTGGCAGAGGTAACATGATCCTTTATTTCTCTGTGTAGATTTAGCTAAAGGGATAATGTACAAATAGATTTTCCAACTGGATTTTATTTTTTCTGCTTAGTTTCTAGAGCAAAGCCTGTTGACATTTGCCATTTGTCTCTTTCTTATAACTGAATGAGGACATGAAAGGTCTGGCTGGCCGAGTGAACTGATTCACTGGTAATTTCTGAAGATAATAATGGCAGTGTTACAGTGTCACTGACTGAGCAGTTAGACTCCACCAGGCCCATGTGTGTTGTGTGTGTTTGTACATGCAGGTGTATTTCCCCTGAAGGGACCAGGAGAGCCCCACAGCTTGCATTTTATCAGGTGGGTGAAGCACCAAGGCCAGGGCTGAGTGATTTAAGTCGGGACTGCGTGATTTACCTCTATTTAGAGCTACAACATATTGACAGAAAAACCTGAAATAGCACTAACATATTATTCCAGGGTGATGGCTGGACGTAAAATAATTTAACCTTGAATATAATTTATTCACGTGACTGAGGCTTCAGAGCTCAGTAAATAAGAACCTCAATGCCCGCGTTGAAAGCCCTTTTACTGATCAATCATGCATATGCTTTTAGGCAAGTTGTATCATTGCCTGATAGTTTCCCAATCTGTTAAGCAAGAAAAGTAATCATACCGATTGCACAATATCTTCGTGAAGAACAAGTAAGATAATAGGACTGTTGTTGGTGTTAGCACATCGTGACAAGTAATCAGCACTCAGCAGTTGCTATTTATTATTGTCACTATTGACACACACACGTGCTAGACCTTTACACCTTAGGTCAAAATTCCAATGTCCTTCAGATTTTTTGTGCTTTTCACACATTTCACCCAACACGGTATCTTATCACTCAAATCTTTTTATAATAGAGTGTTCATTTTACAACACTTTCACATTTTCAGAACGTTGCAAAGGTAGATCAAGAATTCCGTATTTCCCTCCTCCAGGTTCCCTTACTGTTACCATCTTACGTTATTGTAAGAAACCAACATTGTGTACAACGATTAACCAAGCCCCTTGATTTGGGAACTGCTATTTTTTGTCTGTTTTGTTTTTTGCGTTCTCCTGTTCTCTTCCTGCTTCGGGCTCCTTTCAGGACACCAACCTCAATCTAGGGATCCTACTTCCTTCACCTCCTCTGGTCTGTGGAAGTTTAACATTCAGACTTTCTTTATTTCTGATACCTTAACAGTTTTAAAGAATACTGGTCAAGTATTTGATAGAATCTTCCTCACTTGGGTTTGACTGATGTTTTTCTCATGGTGAGACTGGGGCTATGAAATTGGAGGATTAAATCATAGTCAGAAAGAGCCATCTCACTCCATCACAAGGGAACCACTCCCTGCTCTCCAGAAGGTTTACAAGACCCCTCACAAGAGCCTTGATCATCGGGCTGAGGGGATGCTTCCCAAATGTCTTCATTTAAGCTCACCTTTCTTTCCCTGTCCGTACAGTACTCTCAAAGCCAATCGTCAAGTGAAACCTGTTCTAAAGAAGGATCGTCTGCCTCCTTGAGGGGGACTATCTACACGAACTATTTGGAATTCTTCCTAAGGGAATCTTGTCTCTTCTTTAACTTTTATATGTTAGCCTGGATCTAAGCTCTGATTTAACCACAGAGTGATATGCTCGAAAGTTAAGTGGAAGAGAAGATACGCTCTTGGCTAGTAAACCCTTTTAGTGGTTTCCTTTGTAAACTGGGCTAAAAATACTGAGGCAGGGCAGACAACAAATACAAGTTCAAGACTCAGAAAATATTGATTTAAGACTTTGATGCTCTTGGCTCACTTGCCGGGTAGGCTTGTGTAAATCTGTTTCTTTCTTGAAATTGACTTTTCTCACTCATGAAGAAAGCTATAAATACCCAGGCTTGTAAAGTATCAAAGATAATAAAAATATAAATTCTCTGATCCCTAAAAGCTTCATGTAGATAAAAAGCAACATTATTTACTACTACTAATTTCCATCACATCTATCGCCAGTGTTTAAAGTGATAAAAAATGGGACACAATATGAAAGTACCTTTAAAAGAGTTTTTATTTTAATTTCACTTAAGAGCGTCTCCCCTTTAGAATTTTAGTCGATGTTTGCACCATTTGCTTCTATTTCTCAAGCTGGTTTCTAGTGGAGGTATGATGAATAACAGGGAAGCTATAGCCACTAGTCACATGTGGCTATTGAGATTAAAACCAATTAAAATTAAACTTTGAAAACTTTAGTTAGTCGCACTAAACACAGTATGGCTATGATTGGCCGGCGGCTACCATGCTCAATAACTGATCAAGATGATTGGCCAGCGGCTACCATGCTCAATAACTGATCAACATGATTGGCCCGCGGCTACCATGCTCAATAACTGATCAACATGATTGGCCGGCGGCTACCATGCTCAATAACTCATCAACATGATTGGCCAGAGGCTGCCATGCTCAATAATTGATCAAATATTTCCATCAAAGTTTTACTGGGCCGTCCTGCCATTTGAGCCCCATGGGGGCTCCTCTCCTCTTAGTTCTGAATTCTCTCCTCCCACCTCCTATCAGGCATCTGATTCTGTCTGCCACTGCCTGCTCTCCAGAAGGTTTTCAAGACCCCTCACAAGAAAGTCCTCAGATGTGTCCCCATCAAACAGTAACAGCAGGTATAATACTTACTGTCAGCAGTTCCATGAATTATTAATATATTTTCTTCTTTTAAGCCATGAATATTATGTAGCACACTGGCTGCCTATAAAGGAAAACAGAAATATCTGGATCTACAGATCTATCTAAATAAGTAATTTGACTGAATTTTTAGAGCAGAACTACTCTTATTTTTTAATTAGTTACCTGGTAAGTGTTTTCCTCCCTAGACGGCATGCCGAGGTATCTTTCAGAGAAAGCTGAGGCTGTGACCCAAGAAAACAGAAATTTAAAAATAAATGAAAAACCATTTGACTTGCACAATTCATTATTTAATTTCATTTCACATTTAATTGTCATGCTCCAGTACAATTGATTGAATCGGGGAGGTGATAAACAACTCAGAACAGGCTCTGGTAACACATGATAAATGAGCTCAGTTCAGCTCCTCTGCGTTGGGATTTTGTTTTCTACAAATCAATACATTACATTAGGTATTAGGTCAGTCTGTAGGAAATACTCACCGTATAACTTCAAGTCTGTGATAGGTGCAACCACTGATCCACATTTAAAAAGCTTTTCATCAGACTTTAAGATCATTGATGCAATATAGCCACCATACCCCTGGCCAAGGGAGGTTAAAAAAAAAAAAGATTATAACAACTATTTCTGGAGGTGTCTGTAGTTTCTGGTCACTGGTAATGTACATCATATCATAATGTTCCATAATGACTCAATTTGAGCAAATAATAGAATAAATCACTTGGTGCAGACGAAAACTTTGAACAGTCATGCAAAGTTTTACCTAACAGGCTGCTTTAATAACCTTATATAAAAGATAAAACTAATTATATACTATCAAATGTCAAATATTTGCTCTGCGATTTCAGATCATACAGCTGAGAACTGTCCAAAATAATTTTCAGTTAGGGAAATAAAATGCTTATTAAATCATATGCCATTATAAGCTAATTTGATATATATACTTTTAATAAAGCATTTAAATAATATCAATAGCTATTTATGTAGAATTAACAGAAGAATAAAATATTTAAAATATAAAACCACAAATAGAGATTCTCCTTTTAATTTGTGGCAGGGTTCTGAAACCTGACTTCAGGAAGCTAGAATATGCCACCCCATTTCTGGCCCCCTACAGGGCATAAGATTATTTTGAGTTGGTTATTTTAAGAAATTACAGATATATGAAGGTTCTCAGGCTAGAGGCTGTCTTTTCATAAGAGAAATTTACATCTGTAAAGGAAATCTTCATTTGTCTCTCCCCTCCACCCCCAACCAGAAAGAGAAGGATGATTAAATCAGAGACTCATAATCAGTGGAGAAGGAATGGAGTTAAATCTGCATTACGAAAGTTTCCTTGGTTTTGCTTTTCCTGGCCATCTCTTTTAATCCCTTCTCCCTTTGTTTCTGAGAGTTATGATATTTATATCAGATATCTAACATAGTTCTTTGAGATCTACTCTAAAAATTTAATCACTTCTTCGAGTTGCCTCCCATGTACAGAGGAGGTATACATGTTATTAAACTTCAGCTTTTCTCTTGTTAATCTGTCTTTTATTACAGATAAGACCTTTTATTCCTAGCCAAGACCTCATGAAGGTTAAGGGAGGAAATGAGGTTTTCTGCCCCTCATTTCATACAACTTAATATTGGAAAGAAATTGCATATAATGAATAATGTTGTTAGTTATGAAACCACCCATACAAATTGATGAAAGGGTGCAAGGTGAAGATTAGAGTAAGGGCCCCAAACCTCTGTGAACTTAGCTAAAATAATGATACTAAGCAGCCACTGTCCCTGCGGGAAAAGAATTCTCATAACCCTGACAGGAGTACAGCCATTTTAGAAAATCAGGTCAGAAACCAGCAATCCACTCCCCAACCCCCACCTCCGGATTCTTGAAGCACCTGAAAGCCAGGGCTCCTGGAAACATATTACCCAAATCCTGGCCCCAAATCCTTACAAATACTAGAGAAAAGCCCTAGGTAGTCCCAGCAGCCCACAAGGGACTAATGGTTCCACCCTAAAACTGCCTGATTGCCTACTCCTTCCCCCGCCAAACTGTCTTTAAAAGCCCTATCTCCTCACTTCTCCAGGAGGCAGATTTGAGAAATTCCTCCCCTCTCCTCTCTCAGCACGATGCAAAATGAACCCACTCTACTGTGAACTCTGCTGTCTCTGGATATGGCCTTTCTCTCCAGCAGCCAGCAGATGAAGGTGGGTGGAATGGTAACAGGTAAGTTAGATTACCCTTTAAGTTTAATTTTAAAATACTTTCCTGAATAGTTTTTAAACTCATTTAATATAAATTCTTAAAAAACAAACAAACAAAAAAGAGACCTAGTTTTGTTTTTTTTGGTTTTTTTTTTTGTAGCCTGAATAAAAATGTTATAGAGTAGATCTTAGTAATTTTATACTGAACTAAGGAAGTAACCTACTGAGTTATCTGTTTTAGAAATTAACTTTTAGCTATACTCTGGGCAGTGCTCTTTATGCTACCAGACACCGAAATATCTTGGGAAGCGTTAAAAAATATTAACACTTAGGTCTTAATTTCAGAAATTCTGATGCAATTGGTTCATTATGAGGTCTATTTTGAAAAGATTTTCAGATGAGTCACTTGTGATCCAATATATTGTTTTCTTGTCATTGTCTCTAAACACTTGAAGTAAGAAATTAGTAATTTCGTTTATGTTTATGTCGACCATCATCTAAAACTTGGCCTATGACTGTTAATAATGTAATCATGCCTAACTGAAATGCCTGAGATAACATATTCCATTCTGACACCGGAATATTTAATTAGTACTAAGAAACTTGAACAAAGCGTCTTAGGGACTAAAAAGAAAGGCAGTTATCCTTTATAATTCAGAGTTATCTTCTTTACACCTTTATATCCTTTACACCTGAGAGCATTTTTGCTCATTCTTAGTGAGAAAGAGAGACGAACCCTTAAGGTCAGCTCAGCACAATTTGAAAGTGGCAGGTGTAAATGTATTCACATAAGGAAAGAAAGAAACCTCAATGGGCGGGGTGAGTCATTTAAAGCAAGAAAATAAATAGCTGTAAGTTTAATAGCCCGTATCCAAAATGGGTTGTGACCAGACACATTTTGGATTTTGGACTCTTTTTTTTTTCTTTTTAATTCTTTTTTTTAAAATTTTATAATATTTGCCCTATACAATGAGCTATCCCCAAGTCTAAATACAAAATTCATTTATGTTTCATAAGCACCCTAAACACAGACTAATGGTATTTTTAGACAATATTTCTAATCATTTTGTGTATGAAACAAAGTTTTAACTCTGTTTAGACTATGACCTGAGGTCAGTGGTGAAATTTTTCACTTATGGCATCATGGTGGAGCTCAAATGGCTTGGATTTTGGAGCATTTAGGATTTTAAATTTGGGAGTTATTAGAAAGCAAAAGTAGGGACAGTCCTTGAAATTTCAGTTGCTACGGAAAGTGTTTTTAGTATATTTAGTTCCCTGTCTTGGAGATAAGAGCAGAGGATTGCAACTACTAGACTTCAAGTATTCCCCACATCCCATGGTACATGTGTTACATATCTGAGCTGAAACATGTAACTTTTCTGGTTCTAGTTCCATGATGGCCAAGCAAACTTTGAATGGATTGTGATCTGGTTGTTTACATAACCCCACTACCTGACAGAGTAGCTGAATATTCTCAATATTAATTGTAAATATTTCAATCGATAGAACTGTGTATCACATTTAAATATCTAAATTAATAAATCTCTCAGGGCTTGATTATCTCTAGGAACTAAGAAGAATGATGACTTCCAAAGAAAGGGAACATACTAGAATAATGCTTCTTCACTTGAGAGTTCATTCAAATAATTTGCTTATATAAAAAAGCAGATTCTCATTCAGCAGATTTGGGATGAGAATGAAGATTTTACATTTTTAACCAAACTCTCAGGGCACCCATGCTTTTAAGTGACATTCTGTATAACAAGTTCTGACAATATAATCATATAATAAAGTGCCTACCAGAAACACCTCCCTAGTTCCAGCCAGCATCCCTTAGACCAGTGAAACTTTGACAAAAGGTACCGATGCCTTAGGAAACAATTCGAATGTGAGGATTGGGCACCTAAGGTGGCTCCCACATTGAAGCCAGGGTTGTAGATCATGGTTGCTGAGTAGAAGTTGTATTTTACTATTTTTTCAATATGTAAAGTTAGGATTTAATGAAGCTAAATACTTTCTAAGACTTAATGATAATGAAAGCTATTGAACAAAATTCTCTTTATAGCACTTAAAAATCAAATCCAAAATGTTGCTCTAATTTGGTTTATTTCAGAGAAATAACTTCTATTTTTAAAAGAAAATCAATACTGGCAAAATTAGAATACATTAACTTTTAATTGCTCACCTTCCTCTCAACCATTTTATATCAATTCACTGATGCAAGAGTAGATCATGAAAGAGTTCTCCGAATATATGTTCCAGAAGAAGGCAGGAATCAGATACATAGTGTGAACTCAGTGAGATGTAATGATGGTGATTTTAATTTTTAAAACATCTCATTACATCAGGTAGATTCAAAAATTAAGGCTTCTCATATGGTTCTGTAGGTAATTAGAGGTTGTTTTGATTTGATAAAGATCAAAACCAGTCAATAGTCAGTGTAGACAACTGTTTTGATTGTACATTTTATTGATTTCCCAGCAACCGTAATTTTTCTCATTCATTACCATGGTTTTGTCATTTCCATTTACCAAGCATTTTAGTGTAACTCTTAAAATGTTTAAAAATGTATGCTATTATTGTAAAATTTAATTCAATGAACTTATATTATAGGGATGTTTCCTAAGAAATTTTCCTTCTTAAAAAATAGAAATACTTGAGAGGTAAAAAAACAGTAGAAGAGTGCTGGGGCTTGGGAGTGGGGGAATGGGTTGCAACACCATGTAGTCAGGTCTTAGGTTTCCAATGGCCACCATTTTTGAGGTAATCATTAAGTGATATCATGGATGTAAAAAAGATACAAAGACAACTGAAGAAAAAAAGGAGGCTCTTAATACAGCTTTAGACTTGTGCATTTTTTTCTAACCACACTATTTTTAGTACACAATGAATTAATTTGGAATAAAAATGTATAAATATGTGATGAATAACACAATTTTATTTTATTTTATTATTTTGCATTAAAATAATTAATTTGACATAATTACTTGCATTTTATCACAATTCTTATAATCTTTCTTGAAAAATAATCTGTCTGAAGAAGAATTTTAATTCTTTTTTTTTTTTTTTTCAGTTTTTGGCTGGGAGCCAGGTTTGAACCCACCACCTCTGGTATATGAGGCCGGCACCCTACTCCTTTGAGCCACAGGCACCACCCAAGAGTCGATCTTAATTCTTCATATCATGTATACTAATAGCTTCAAACCATAGAAGTAACTCAAGCTGATCTCAAGCTTTGAGATCTCCCCTTCAATTGAAAAGGTACAAAATTCTAAATCATGACAGATTACCTCCATAAGTAAGGTTTTTAGAAGCTTCCATATTCACTTACATTTTTAAAGTTGTTTTACATTCCCCATCATCCATGTTTCTTGTCTCCTTACATTGCC